CACCAATCAAAAATTATCTCTATTTCTGAAAATATGTTTCCTTCTATCAAATGAAAAAAAAATCACAAATACAACATAAAAACATAGGAAAAAACATGCAAAGTCGCTGTTTTAATCGAAAATCATGGTCTGGTTTTTTTTCTCATTATACACAGTGTCTGGGATTGTTTTAAGTGGTGCACACATACCACATGAGTTTCTCTCTATTAGGGCCCCCAAATTTTCCACTCAGTTTTCAAGGAGCTGAGCTCATGACGTGATCTACGGTTTGGACCCTGAACGTAAAGCCCAAAATCTACGGGGCGGACCCGAAAAGGGTTAAATTGAATTTTTTTGCAATTTAAAAGCCTTTTTGAATTTTTATCAAGGGTGCCTCCTGGTGTTATTTCTGCAAAAATATTATTGCTTAAATTCCCCATTTTGGGGCCTTAAGTTTTAAATCCCCCAGGGCAAAATTTGGGTGCAGAGCGGAAGAAATTTTCCCGACAGGGGTCAAATTTTTTAAAGTTTCCTGGAATTGCGGGGTGTTCACCGGGGGCTTGTAGACTACCACAATGACTAGGTTTTGGTTTCCCACCCTTTATGCTAAAAATTCCCCTACATCATTTGAGGCATTTAGCAGTTTTTTGGCAAACAAGGACTCTCGTTACAGGGAAAACCCCCCCCTTTTGCCCGTTCCTCTGTCACATCTGTATATTGTAACCGGGATCCATATTTTGTTTTCCCAAGTGATCTTTAGTGGGTCTCGTGAAAACCCGAACATTTCCCTTTGGTCTCAAAGCAACCCAAAAGGTATTTGTTGTTTGTTGTGGCTTTGACCCTGATATTTGCAAAAAAAGAATGTCTCGGTGGTGTATTGGGGGTTTACGGGGGGGGGGGGTTTTTTTCTCCACTTTTAGTATCTGTATCTGTGGTTTTGGGGGGGGAAAAGCCATCAGTGGTTCCACTCCAGGAATGACTGGATTTGGTGTACGATTTCGCCATTTCCTCCAGTTTTTTTTCATTCCGGGGAAAAAAAACCCTCCCTCTTGAGGGGCGGGGCTACCCAGGTTTTCCAGGGCCGGATTTTTTATTTTTTTGTCCCCTTTTTGATGGTGTGCCTGGAAATTTTAAAGTTATAGCACAGTCTTTCCTGTACGAAGAGGTACAATTTCAGGGTGAAAAACTACAGGAAGGGAGTTTGCTTTTCCGTTTTTCTATGGGGATGGATTTTCTTTGGGTGGTCATAGTTGCACGTCCCGTCTGTTTTTTCCCGATTTCCCATGTCGCAGATACCAAGTGCATATATGTGCACAGGCTGGTTTCCGTTCCTTGGTTTTTTGTGACTGTATTCCCCGTTGGGCATTTTCCCTGTCTTATTTATCCTCCCCAGACCAACAATGGAGCTCCCACCAGTTTTTTTTTGGGAATATTTCCTCCTATAGCTAGTGGGGTCCTCTTGTTTGCTTTTTTTGTGGTTTTCTAGTTTCAATAGTGTAGTTTGATTAGTGAGAAATGGTATAAATAATATCAGCACTTGTGAAAGAAAAACTCACCAGTTGAGTGTATTGGATCAAAGCAGATTACTTACTTTTGAACTTTTGGCAAAAACGAACATTTTGCTAATTTTAGCCAGTTTTCAAGGCTTTTTCATTGTGAAACCAATAAAATCATTTAATTTCCTAATATGTCTTCCATTCTATAAAATGAACCCGGGAAAACTAGAATACAACCAAAATTTAACATATGAAAATACACTGCAAATCGCTGTTTTAAAGAAAAAAAACAGGGTCGGTTTTTTTTTCTCATTATGCACTGTGCTGCGGTTTTTTTTTATACTGTGCCACTGACCACTAGACCCTTTTTTCAATGTGGGCCTACCAGCTTTTCTCGCTAATTTGAAAGCGCTAAATTTTAGCGTACTAGAAAGGGCCCCAAACCCCTGGCATGCAAGCCTACAATAAAACCCCCTCGGAAAGGGTTTTAAACATCCTGAGGCTTGTCACCCTCAAAAATGATTTCCTCCAATTATGCTGGGAAGATTTCTGACACCAGTGTGATTAGCAGATGCACTATCACTGCTTAATTTGAGCAGTTTAGCAGTTTAAAACTAGAACAAGCCAGCACTAGATGCTCACTATTTCAGGCTTTCATTTGTCATCTCACTGTATAACAAGGCTTGCTTGCTCCATGATCATAATGAAATTATATGGTTTACTTTTTTTGCTGCTGATTTCACTCTAATTTTTCTGTCTTATTCAGCTGTTGTGACCTATTTGGCATTCTCTTCAGGTCACAACCTTTTGTAAACTAATTAAACAAGCTTTTATCTTTTTATTTTTAAAATTTTATGAATTATGCTTTGAACCAAAGGCTTTGCATCACTTTTGGGTTATCTAGTACAGGTGGGGGCCCCTCTTTACAGCCTTTTGCTAATAAAGCTTTTTAGTTAAAACCCATTCTTTTTTATCAACTTCCTACAATAAATGTTACCAAATCCACCGCTATAAGCTAAGGGAAAAAAACTATTTTATGGAATTTGTGTACAGGGAGTGGTTGGTCCTAGGTAGTAGTTTGGGGCCCAGGGATGGTTGGTAGCAGCAACCCCCCAGGGGGGTACTACCGCCTGCCAAGTGAGTGTAAAATAAGCCCGTAATTTTTTTTACACTGGTAGGGTTGCTGGTGTTTTTTTTTGTCTCAAAAACATGCAAGGTTTCAGGGACGTCTTGGGTACTTTTGCTTTTCCCCTTTGTCACACCCACACATACATGGGACAAGCATATGTATAAAAACACCCCTCCCGGGGATTTCTTTATTTTCTTACTGCTCTTGGTTTTTGTTTTTTCCTCTTTTCTCCATGGGGGAATGGAACAGAACTTCCTTTCCCTAAGCTACTGTGTAAGAGGCGACTAAAATGCCAGGAGCAAGGGGCTAGTAACCCCTTCTCCTGTATATATTACTAAATGTGAAAGGAGAAACTTTTGTTTTTCCTTTTGGGCCACCCCGCCTCGGTGGGATACGGCTGGTGTGTTGAAAGAAAGAAAGATGTGTACTGTATATGCATTTTTTAGGCCTAGCTCTGTTGTTCACTTAATATATGATAGTGTAAATGTGTTATCAGGCTTTTATATGCATTTGAAAGTGAAAAAGGGTACGTTTCATATTACAACGATTTTTGCCTTATAGCAGTAGCCTGGAAACTAACCTGCTGTATAAGTGGGGCCCTCCTGTACGTAATTGTATAACTTAATATTTTTTAAATACAGTATGTCCTCCATTTAATGTGCCTCGTTTAACAGATTTTGGAAATATGGAACAGAATCTGCAAGGCCAGGAGATTTGACAACAGTAGATAGTCCTATGGTTGCAGAATTGTTCCTTATTTTTATAGTCTCAGAAACAATGTTCACCACAATTGCCATTACTTGCCACCCACTCCCCCTAATTTATCCATTAAATACATACAGGGTTTACTGTACTTAGACATTTATGTTTGCTCTTTTGGCATCTCCAGCATCACTCTTATTCTTGCATTCCATGGTTAGTATTCAAAGATGTTGATTAAAAGTTGATTTGCTAACATATGACAATGGCATATGGAAAGCTGGCAGCATGGGAGGCTTACATAGTGAGACTGGGCCTTTCCTCTAAGAACAGTGGCCTTGCCTGGAAGCTGATTGTAAGGCAAAGGTGATAGATCCAATGATGTTCCATGTTTTCCCCCAAAATCTTTGCCATGCTGTTAAAGTTTCATAGCATGCAAATTTGTCACAATTTCAAGTGTTTTCACATAATGGTTCAAATGCATATTATTTAGAAATCTCTTATACAGTGGACCCCTGGTTTGCGACATTAATCCGTTCCTGAGAGCTCATCGTAAACCAAAATTATCGAAAAGCGAATCAATTTTCCCCATAAGAAATAATGGAAATCAAATTAATCCGTGCAAGACACCCAAAAGTATGAAAAAAAAAATTTACCACATGAAATATTAAGCTTAATGCACACAAACTGAAGACATGCACAGTTTGTAGTATACTAACAATAGAATACATGACACTTACCTTTAATGAAGATCTGGTGATGATTGATGGGATGGTAGGAGGGGAGAGTGTCGAAGTTGTTAATGTTTAGAAGGGGAATCCCCTTCCAATAGGACTTGAGGTAGCAAGTCCTTTTCCGGGGTTACTTCCCTTCTTTTAATGCCACTAGGACCAGCTTGAGTCACTGGCATCCTCACCATGCCTAATCACACTATGTATGCCACTACGATTCTTAAATCTTTCAAACCAGCCTTTGCTGGCCTTAAATTCACTCGCATCACCACTAGTTGCAGGCAATTTCTTTACCAAATTGTCATGCAGCTGCCTAGCCTTTTCACAAATGATTGCTTGAGAGATGCTATCTCCTGCTGTCTGTTTTTCATTTATCCACACCAATAAGTCTCTCAGCATCTAACACTTATGGTCGCTGTTTTGTAATCACAGTTGCACCTTTTGCAACAACAGCTTCCTTGATTGCTGTTTTCCTGGTCACTATAGTAGAGATGGTTGATTGGGGTTTTGTATACAACCTGGCTAGCTCCGACACACGCACTCCACTTTCGTACTTTGCAATTATCTTTCATTTCAATAGTCATTAGCACCCTTTTTCTCAAAGGGTTGGCACTAGAAGCTCTCTTGGGGCCCATGGTGACTTATTTTGCAGAAACAAGCACCAAAAACACTGATAATATAGAATGTACCGAATGTATCCTTAGATGCGAGCACACTGGCTGGCTTGTAAACACTGGCACACAAGTGGACACGTCTCGGACGAATCGTATACCGGGTTTTTTAACGGGAACCGAGGCAAAATTTTTGCGTTAAAATGCATCGAATACCGGATTTATCGGATACAGATGGCATCGCGAACCGGGGGTCCACTGTATATGCATTACTGCTGATAGAAAGATGTTGTTATAGCATATGAAAGAAATAATAAAATTTGCATATACAGTGTATATGTTGTAGTTGAATACGTGTACTAAGATCTATCTCATGTTTCAGGTGTCCAGTGGGCGAGGCTACACACTTATGGAGCTACTTAAGGGCTCTGGCGAATTCTGCAAGGCACAATATCACATCAAATAAACAAGAAAGAAACCTGCTTATGCTAATCTAAGTGTGCATTGTCTGAGTGTCCGTGTGAATAGTGGGAGACTGAACTCGGTGATGGGGTAAAGTGAAGGCCTGAAAATAAGCGGGTCCTCTGTGGCTACGTTATCGTCTGTAATTGCTGCTGCCGTTGCTGCCGCCCTTCTGCTTTGTGGTCTTTCGGCCTAAGTAGCAAAGGAGAGATCCCTATCTTCGGCAGCACTTTCGGCAAAATCAAAATTGGGGATCACCGCCATACTGTATATGGTGGAGGAAGCTTGAGCTTGATTGTTGCCTCCCTACCAGTCCTTTCCTTCACTAGCTCCATCCTGTTCAAGCTTTTTACCATTTAAGTTTTATCTGTGAAGAGCCAAAGTGAGTGTGTTCTAATTGTGTGTATATATAGTGTGATTGTGGAACAGTGTATAATATCAGATTACAGCATTTTTTTATAAATACACAATATACATATATATATATACACAGTATATATATATATAATTTATATATTTGTAAATTTGAGAAGGGATCTCACAACTTCATCCCAAGTTTAGAAGTCTCCCCAGGTGGAAGATTCTCTACCACGTGAGATTATTATTCATTGCCATCTTTTCTTATTGTCACCTTAAAAAGCTGTACTTCAAAAGCTCTGCCTGAAAAATCACAAGTGCAAGAGTATACATTACTACTGGCCTATAGTTTTTTAAGAGCGTTATGAGTGCAAATAGTGCAAACATGAGATCAAAGAGCATCAGACCTGCCCCTTCAGAAATTGAATACAAGAATATGCGCTTCCTCATCACAGATCGACCCACTGACGCAACCATGCAGAGCTATATTGAGGTAAGGAATATCATCTTTGAAAAAATTCTTGGTTGTGCTGTGAATGGTTATTTATTGTGGCATATTCTTTTATTGACTAACTTTACACAAAAGTGCTTGTAACTGGAGTGAAGGGGATGGTTATCTGTGTTATGACTGCATGGATCTGGAATTTTTAGTGAAGATATGTTACTATATATGGGAGCAAGGGGCTAGTACCCCATTCTCCTGCATAAATTACTAAATTTAGAAAGAGAAACTTTCGTTTTTCTTTTTTGGGTCACCCTGTCTCGGATACAGCTGGATTGCTGAAGGATGTTACTGTACAGTGGAACCTCGGTTGCTGAATTTAATTCGTTCCAGATGCCGATTCGACAACCAAAATGGATAACAACCAAAGCAATTCTTCCGTTGAAGAATAATGTAAATAGAATTAATCCGTTCCAGACCCCAAATGACAATATAATTTATGAAAAAATGTACTAAATACTACATAAAACTGTAAAAATGAATACTGAAAGAAACTTTAACTGAAATAATGTACAGTAAAGGAAAATTTAACAGCCTGTCAAAGGAGAGGTAATGGCATACTGGAAGCAGGAGGTGGAGAAGAGGGGGGGGGTATGTTACTAGGAAGGAGAATCGCCTAATGATTTCAGTCACCACCTGGTGGTTTTTTCTTTTCTCTTTTTCACCACTAACACCTTGTTCTGGCTCGCTGGTCTTGCTAAAAGCCTGTCCAGTGAGGTTTATTTCAGGGTCTGCTTTAGTACTTGTTTAAATTGAGACTTTGTGTCATTGTACATGTTAGACTGACGGATGGCCACTGGTTATTCTGGATGGTATTTTTCAGCAAACTCCTGCACTTCAAGCTAATTAGCACACATTTCCTTGACAAGTGAAATGTGCACATCATCCCTTCTCTCCTCTTCCTCTGATGACAGCTCCTTTGCTGCAGTCTAATGCTGCTGTTTCTGAAGGTCCAAAAGGTCTTCTGTGGGCGTTCAATTCGATGCTCCTCCACCAACTCCTCCACATTATATTCAGTCACCTCTAGGCCCAAGGTCTTCCCCAGGGACACACTATCCTTTACTTGTTCAGGCTCACCTTCAAAGTCTTCAAATTCCATGGCTGCCACAAAGTCAGGACACAGTTTCCTCCATGCTGACTGCATGGTCCTGGAAGACGCATCCCGCCAGGCTTTGTCTGTAAGCCTCAAGCTGGTGAGGATATTAAAATTGTCCTTCCAGAACTCCCTGAGGGTTAAATTTGTTTCTGAAGTCACTTCAAAGTACCTTTCAAGAAGTGCTTTGGTATAGAGTTTCTTGGTTAGAAATGACTTGTTGGTCCATGGACTGGATGAGAGTGGTGGTGTTATGAGGCAAGAACTTCAGTTATAAAACTGAGCTCCTCCAGCAACTTGTTTTTCAAGCTTGGACAGTGAGCAGGAGCATTATCCAAAAGTAAAAGGGCCCTGAGTAGCAATTGTTTTTTAATGAGGTACTTTTTGACAGTGGGAGCAAAGACTTAATGAACCCACTTAACAAAAAAAATTCTTGTTAACCAAGACAGTGGCCCTCCACATTACAACCAATTTGCTTTTCATAATACGTATTGGTCTTCTTAAAAACTCATGGCTTTTTGGAATGATAAACAAGTAAGGGCTTCAGTTTCAAGTCCCTCACTTGCATTACCACAGAATAACAGTGAGACTGTCTTTCATTGGCCTGTGTCCTGGCATTGACTTCCTCTTTAGTTATGTGGTTGTCTTGGGCATCATCTTCCAGAAGAGGCCTGTCTCGTCACAAATGCATGTTGGGGGAGAAATCCCTTGGCCTCTACGTACACTTGGAATTCAGTACAGCCTCTTCTCACTTAGTGACATACTCGTTTACCGACCACTTAGATTTACGACCAGCTATCCTGTTTACCAGCCACTCGGACTTACTACCAGCTCTCCAACCAGCATGCAAACCTAAGTAATGTATATTAGAGCTGATTTCCTTTATTCTGTTTATTACAGTATACAGTACACTACTGTATAAACATTTAAAAATGTACTAAAAATGTCATAGATGGTGCAAAGGTGACGTTAAAAAAAATATCGAAAGATGGTTGACACAAGCCTACTACCAGTATAGTATTGTCTTCGCTTAATGACCAATTTGCTCACCGACCTGCTCTTAGGATTGGAACCTCGTCGTTAAGTGAGGAGAGGCTGTAACATACTTTCAACAGCTACTTTGTCAGCACTGGCAGCCTCCCCATGCCTAGCCACACTATGAATGCCATTTCTTTTCTTAAAATTATCAAACCGACCCCTACTGCCCTTGAAAGATTACATTTCAGCACTTTTTTTTTCTTTTTTTATTATTCCACATTGTCGTGCAACTGCCTTGCTTTTTCACAAACAGTGGCCTCTGAGACACTATCGCCGTGTAAATGTTTTTAGTTTATCCCAATCAACAAAGTGTTTTTAACCTCCTCAAAAATTTGTGGCCTTTGCCTTAATATCACTTTTGCAAGGTCAGCTGCTTTAATTTTTTTTCCTTTGGCCCAGTATCGTGCTGATAGTAGACGCTGATTCTCCATAAAGTTTTGCTATATCAGCCACATGGAGCCTATCTTCATACTCTCAAATAACTTCTTTTTTAAGCTCAGTAAAGCTTTTTACAACTTTTCTTTTTGCTTTAACCCTTTGAGGGTCGCCATGCCCTCTCAGAGACTTGTTCTCAAGGTTGCCAAAATTTAAAAAAAAAAAAAAAAATTCTCATGAAAAGATAGAGAATCTTTTCCCGATCATAATGACACCAAAGGTATGAAATTTGCTGGAAAACTTACGGAATTATGCTCTCGTGAAGTTAGCGGTCTCGACGATGTTTACGCATCGGTGATTTTGCCCACGTTGAGCCCTATTTTCGGCCAATTCCAGTGTACTAGTCGACAAAAATCATAACTATTTCGCTAGAACTCCGTTTTTTCTATCGAATGAGTACAAGAAACCACCCATTTACCGATTTCAACTATCCAATCAAGTGGTCAGAATTTAGCAATTTTGCCAATTTCACACAAATTTCAAAAGATGCCAATTTCCAAATAGGGCCCAGAATAAACAAGAAAGACATTCCTGGCACTAAAATAACATTTCCTCTGTTCATTAGTCACATCCCCATGCCCCTCTTACATTTCTTTTGCTTTTCACTTTGAACTTTTATTCTCACAAAAAATAGAAGATTTACTGTTATGCAGACTACTGTATTAGTGTAGAAATGGTATAAATAATACCAGCACACTTGTGAAAGAATATTAGATTCATCAGTTGACGTGTATTGGACGCTTGGCATGATTTGTTTACTTTTGAACTTTGGCAAAAATCGAACATTTCTGCTACTTTGAGCTCAATTTCAAGGTACTTTTCACTGTGAAACCAATCAAAATCATCTCAATTTCTGTAATATGTCTTCCATTCTATAAAATAAGATCAGGAAAACTAGAATACAAGCATAAATACCATATGAAAATACAGTACAAAGTCGCTGTTTTAAACCAAAAACAGTCCGTACTAGTACGGCTGAAACCTCGAAAGGGTTAATATCTCTATCTTCTTCGGCCCTATGATGGCTTATCTAACAATAAAGAATTGCACCAAAACTGCAGAATAACAAAAAAGTTCACAAGATCCACAGGAAGAGCTCAAAAGGTGTTTACAGCATGCGTGTTAGTGGCTGATTTAAACACATGCTTTTGACTGTTTGATCATGTGATCCGAGCCGCTTTGTCGACAACCAAGAGCACGTATGAAAACCAGGACATGTTTTTCTCATTCTTCATTTGAAAACAGACTTGTTCGACAAGTAAGGCATTCAACAACCAAAGTTCCACTGCACGATTCTCTTAAATAAAAAAAACTTCATGTATTGTCAAAAGGACTAAGAATTTGAGGAAAGTACAGTATGGCACAAAGTAACACTAATGAATGCATACTCTGTTTCCATGATCAGTTTTGATTCCCAGAAAATAACTATAATGGATTAATGAAGAGGAAGGGGTGTTTGTGTAAATGAAAATCCTTTGCACTGATGTGTGCTTGATGCAGCAGCTCAGGTCTGCTGTACTGATACTACTGGATATGGACAAGTGTGCCATGCAATGAACTTCATCATTTACATCGATGACACTACTAGACATACTAAAAAAAAAAAAAAAAAAAGTCGTACATTTTCTTGAAAAAAAAAAGTTAAAAATACAGTACATTGCAGTTCAAAGATTTTTTTCTTAATTTCATCTATTACACAGAAGAGGTAAGAAATCAGATATTGTTCACTGGTGACTGATTACACATTAGTTCAAATTTCTGCTTAACACTGATTTGCACTTCTTGGGATCTTCCATTGTTAATAACTGCACTTTGATAGAGAGAAAAAGTACTGAATCTGGAAAATTGTAAACTGAATGACTATAGTGCGCTCTCAGACCTGATGCGGATTGGTTCAGCGGCCATGCTTGCCTGAGAATAATTAAAACATCTGCACGCAAATACGTTGGATGTGGTTTGCTGTATTGATGGCACTGATGGGCACCACCTGTCCTGACAAATGTGTGATGTAACTGACTTGGTCCTTTGCATTAGTGGTTCTACCAGACACCACCATGCAAGGGACTTCAGAGCCTTTAACTGGACAAAAAATTTTTCCATTATACCGAAACTCTACTTGTAATAATGTTGGTAGAATTGCCGACAATATGTAAAGTGACTCAAGAAATCGTAATGACACGATTGCAAATAAACCATACCCCCGGCCGGGATTGAACCCGCGGTCATAGTCTCAAAACTCCAGCCCGTCGCGTTAGCCACTAGACCAGCTAGCCACAATAAGATTCATCCAACTAGGTATATTTCTACACCATAGGAAAGTTAGCACAGGCACCTCTGTGACCACAAATGCAAGTTTTTACAGACTTATCTCCAGCTAGCGTGGCCATGACGAACTCTAGCTCAAGTCCCTTCACTGCCGTCAACA